TTTCCATTCATTTTTTCCTTTGTCCCTACAAGAAACATGTATCAGAATTCTTAACTTCATACCTTGTGTACTGGTCCATTGATCTATTGATAATTCATTCACTGAAAATCCATCGGTCAGAAATCAATTCCTTTTTGCTTAGATAAATAGATTGCTGTAAAGCAAATCATACAGGGTTATCCAAAAGTCCAGGACCTCCCTTATAACTTTTGAACAGTAAATTCTAGAGATTACAAATCTGGGGAATTTTCCTTGGTCAAAGGGAACTATTTTTTGACCCCCTTTTTTTCAAATAGGAACCTCTATCTTGTGATGTATCATGCTAAAGGGCTTAAATAAAGAAAATTTTTGGCGCAAACCGATTGTCAATATCTCAATTTTTAAGAAAATGGCGACCTAAAAATGGTGGGTTACCCAAAAGTCCAGACCCCTTCCCCCAGCTCATAACTTTGGAACCATGAATGATAGGGATTTGAAATTTGGGGAATGTTCCTTGGTCAAAGGGAACTACTTTTTGGGGTACCTAAAATTTTGGGAGGCAGAGCTAGGGCAAGTCAAAAAACATCGACTTTCGAATTTCAAAAACGTATAGGGGGGAAAAGTNGGGGGGGAAAGTTGCGCCTAGGCATCAAACTAAAGTGTGCCAAAGCGTTCTTAAGATCCCGTAAAACGTTTTTTGTTCAGGTCATTCTTTGTACCTCCTCGGGGGCAAGAAAAAGATGACTCTTGGCTTTCATTCATCACTTCAAAAACCTTAAATATTTCAACTCTTTTGTTTAAGTATTTAAGTTGTTATTGATACGAGAGTTCACAAAATTTTTACTTATTAAATTTTTTGATTTAATTAATTAATCATTAAATATCATTAATTATTATTATTATTATGGATATTATTAGTTTTATTTAATTATTTTATTTGAATATTTAATTGATTAAAGGTTAAATTTGTTACTTTGCCTGATTTAAATTAAAATGAACAATAATAAAGTAAGAAGTCTTGAATAAATAAACGTTTAATTAGCAATACAAGTTCAGTACGTGAACCAAAGAGTTGAAATATTTAAGGTTTTTGAAGTCCCTAGTAGCAGAGTTATATAAAAAATTTGTTTTTAAAAGTATAAACCGTAAATAACCACAAGCTAAAGAATATTAATTGTTTATGTAATGGATGTAAAGTTTTTTAGTTAAAAGTTTACATTATTATGTAACCCTTAGTATAAAAGTTATATAACCAAATTCAAAGAGTGTATAAAATGAATTTTCATTATTCTTCCTGGCTGGTAGCGCACTCTAGTTATGAAGTGTGCAAGTTTTCACATGCGTTACTACCAGGTGGTGGATCATCGTAGAGTTGTGACTTACCTTAAATCCGCGGCGTCCTAGTCGGGATTAGAACCCACGCCTCGGGATGAAGTTGCAATCCGAAGTCCAGTACTTTACCACCAGACCAGCCAGGCTTGATATGGATGGGCCCCTAAATTCAATCTCTTAACTATCGCAGGCCTCTGAGTCCGTAATATGTTTGTTTATTGACGGATTCTTATGATATTTTACCAGACTTTATTATTTATTATTTATCTATTTATTGTTTTTTATTTCATGATGTAATTTTTTCATTTTCATTTTTTTTAACTCTCTCTCATTTTTTTAGCTCTCTCTTTTTTTTAACTATCATGATTTTTAACTATCATTTTTTCTAACTCTCTCTATTTTTTTAACTCTCTCTCTCTCTCTCTATTTTTTAACTTTATAATTGCGTCTTTTTCCAGTTTTAATTATTTGGGCCTTTTTCTAGTTTGAATTTATGTCGATGTATTTATGTTATTTATTTATTATTATTATCATTTCCTTTTTTCTTTTAAATTTTTATAATATTAGTTTAAACATTTTAAAAAAAATCAAAATTTTTAAAATAATATTTCATAATATTTTTAAAATATTAAGAAAAATAATTATGATATACTTTAAAAATATTATAAAATATTATTTTAAAAATTTTAATTTTTTTATATTTTTAATATATTTTTAAAATGTTTTAAAAATATTCATTGATTGTATTTCAAAAGTACTTTTGAAAATATTTTAAAAATACATGAAAAACATTTTAAAAATATATTAAATTTCAATATTTTTAAAATATTTTTAAAATATTGCTGTCTAACTGGGCAGGGTTATGAGCCAGACACGCTACCAACTGAGGTAACAGGGCTCCTCGGATTGTGTGCCGAAATATCCCCTTTTAACTCGTCTCGGAGCCACTAGTACCTCTAATAATACCTATCCCACGCAGTCTGAGAGTCGAGGGTGTTAATTGAAATGGGATCATCATCATCATTCATGAAAATGAGATAGGTTTACGTTAAAGTCATTCAGGTCATTTATATAACAGTTATATTAAGCAAATTAAGCAAAAGGATACTATGCGTATAAAGAAAATTTATAAAAACCCTTCCTCAATTATATAAATTTTATATAAACGTTATCTTCTGAAAATATGAATAATTATTTTCATGGGCATTTTATATAAAACTTATATACACGATATATAAGCTTTAGTTAAAATGGTGCTTATATAACCGGTATTAATTCCTTATACGTTTGTTAGGAAGGGGAAAGTGAATCATGCTACTAGGGGTGATGAATGGGAGCCAAGAGTCATCTTTTTCTTGCCCCCGAGGAGGTACAAAGAATGACCTGAACAAAAACGTTTTACGGGATCTTATTCTGCCATGAAAAGAGTCCCTGAAAATTGAAGGGTCAAATTTTTGCGTGGTTGCCAAGTCCCTTAAATACATTGTCAAAAATCGCTGAAAAGTCGCTAAAAATCGTGTTTTTCTGGCTTTGTGAGGGCCCTGCGGAGGTAGAAAAACGTCCCCCAGCAAAATAATTATTATATCCTCTTATTCTACAATAAAAAGAGTCTACGAAAAAAGAAAGCCCGATTTTTTACATGCTTGCCAAGTCGTGCAAAAAAATAGCGAAAATAGATGTGATTTCGGCCAAATCGAGCGATTCGGCCCAACTGTGAGCTCGCAAATGGGAAAAAAACCGCCCGCAATCGAAAAATTAGTATTTTTCCGTAATCATCTATATAAATGGTTCCTAAAAACCAAAAATTGACTTTTTGCGTGGTTGCCAAGTCACCTACAAAAATCGATAAGATCGTTGAAAAATGCGAGGCGCATTCGGCCGCAATCGCGTTTTCTGCATTTTTAAGGGCATGTGGGGGCACAAAAAATAGTTTGATCTAAAAACTAATTAGCACACCTTTAATAACTACTAGTAGTGAGTTAATACTCCAAAAAACAGGGCTCTGGCGAATCTTTATTATGCTTAAATAGTGCGATGAAATCGCGAAAAACAGCTTGAATCACGTGATTTTTTGACACAAACTGCAGAAGAGGCACCCCAATAAATTTTTTTTTCGAGGAACGCTTTGGCACACTTTAGTTTGATGCCTAGGCGCAACTTTTCCCCCCTATACGTTTTTGAAATTCGAAAGTCGATGTTTTTTGACTCGCCCTCCGGCAGGCCCTAACTTATTTTTAGGTAGATTTCAAAGAAATATCTACCTATTGCAGACGGTACGACCTCGTAATTTTCGGGGATTTTCGCTCAAAGAGCATCGATGCTGAAGCCCTGAGTTGAAAAATGTAGGTGGTAAAAAAAGTACGATATATATTTATATATTTATATGTATATAACTGGGATCTAACGAACCTTTGCGACCGTTTTTTTCCAGAACTATCCATACGATCAAAACGAAACTAAGCATGGTTCTTCACTGCTATGAGGTCTAGATCAAGTTTCATTTTTGGTGAAAATCGGCCCATCCCTTAGTTCAGTAAAATCAACGTTACTGGGGGATGATTTTTCGAACTCATCCGATCTTAGTCGGTGATACCTAAAAAAACTGGTCTCATCGTGGCCTTCAAAACATCCTATATTCACCTACCCTCTAAAACCACCCCTTATCCAGAAAATCTCAAGTTCAAAGGGGGATGATTTTTCGAACTCGTCCGATCTTAGTCGACGATACCTCAAAAAACTTGTCTCGTCGTGACCTTTAAAACAACCTTTATTCACTTACCCTCTAAAACCACCCCTTATCCTGAAAATCTCAAGTCCAAAGGGGTATGTTTGTTCGAACTCGTTCGATCTTAGTTGGTGATACCTCAAAAAACTGGTCTCGTCGTAACCTTCAAAACAACCTATATTCACGTACCCTCTAAAACCACCCCTTATCCAGAAAATCTCAAGTCCAAAGGGGTATGATTTTTCGAACTCGTCCGATCTTAGTCGGTGATACCTCAAAACACGTATTTTCCGCCATTTTCGGCCACAATTTTGTTAAAAATTGAGATATGGACTATTGGTTTTAGCTAAATGGTTTTTTTAAAGCCCTCTTGCATGATGTATCACAAGATAGGGGTTCCCATTTTATAAAAAAATTAGGGTCCGCTCCCCCTCAGGGGGGCCGTATCCCAAAATTTTGGGTACGCCAAAAAGTAGTTCCCTTTGACCAAGGAACATTCCTGAAATTTCAAATTTCTAGCATTTTTTGTTTACAAGTTATAAGGGGGTTCCTGGACTTTTGGATAACCCTGTATAATAAACATTTTACAAAAAATCAATTTATCAAAGAGCCTTTCAACGTATTCTTCTTGCATGTCCTTCTTTTCTTCTCTCTAACTCGGTCTCTTGTAAATTGATTTCAAGTTCATTTAGTTTGAATAATTTAACCTCTCAATCTACAGCAATATTGATTTTGTTGACCACCTGATATTGGTAGTTAAAATGAAAATGATGGTTTGGTGTCCTCAGAGTCGCACCACTGATGCAATATTCTTTCTTTCTGTTCAGAGGGATTGAAGTAACGTTTGAATTTCTTGAAATGGTCAAATCAGGATTTGCATAGGAAAGGTAAATCTTTTTCAGGATGGGAAATGGTTTGCTCTCTCATGTTCTGCGTTTTTGACTAATTCTTTTTTTGCCTCTAGTTTCCAGAAAGTGTTTCCAACGCCAACCACTTATGAATACCACAACTTCTTTGAGGCTCCTAGGTACTACAATAAACTCTTTGATGCTTGGGAAGTTCGTTACCACAAAAATCGAAGTTTAGGTATGTAGACGAAGTCTCATTGTGTTTAGATGTTTATAGAGAGGAATCAAGCTTTAAAAGCACAGAGAGTTTTTTTTCTGCCTGGGCACAACTACGAAATCTTTGAAGAAAGAATTAATGCTCAAATTTTTACAAGTTAATAGTTCGTAATTACATTATATTTGTATTGAGTTATTTTTAGAAAACTGCCTGCCCATTGCCTCCTGTAATTTTTGAAGTTTCGCATCTCGCATGGGGCACTAGTTATTGCTGCAGTCAAACCTCACTAACTCGGAACCTGCATAAGTCGTAAACCCCACTAACTTGGTAATCCTGGCTCAGTCCCGTTTTTTTGCCCATTTAAGCAAATCTAAAATGTCCGCATAACTCGGAATCAGCTTACTTGGAAAACCTGCTAACTTGTAAAACTTAGCCCCAAACTTAAAAAAATCTCATATAAAGTATAGCCAACTCAGAGCTTTACTCATTGGTCTCTCATCTTCATTATTCCCATACCCATTCGCAAATTTGTTTCGTTGCTCAAAATGAAGGAGGAGTATGTTACAGCGCTGCAGTACAGTGACGATTTGACTGAAGTCAACCTCAAATAAACAGAAGCCTCTGTTGTGCCTACTCCACTCCATGACGTCAGGATACCCTAGGCTTTTATCTTAAACCTCCTGCTAGAGAAGTCATAAATCATTAGCCTCGGACTCATTTTGTCAGTCGGTTTCAGTATGAGCTCTTTCGGCTTTGAAGTTAGAAGAATGACTGAATTACTACCTTCAATGGCCTTTTCAGTGGGTGAAGCTTCTTATTCTGTGATTCCAGTAGCAGTTGTGAAGGCTTGATGTGGAGTAATTCTGCCGCATTCTTAGAGCAAAATCCGAAATTGCAGAATGAAATACTACAAAGTCTGCTTAGCTTGGAAAGTCTGCTAAGGTGAAATAAACTCTTGGTCCAGATGCATTCTGAGTTAGTGAAGTTTGACTTTCCTGAATTTTTTTTACAAATAGTCCGGGTTCTTATGTTCAAAAGAAGCTTCCCGTGGAACGGTAAGTGAAGCAAGTGTGGAAAATGTCTTAACCTCTTCATTTCAATGCCAGGTTCTTACGTTCAAAAAAAGCTTCATGTGGAACGGTAAGTGAAGCCCAGTGTGGAAAATGTCTTAATCTCTTCATTTCGATGCGTAAAAAAAGAATTTCGATGTTGTCAAGCTCAATTTTGCGTCCAACCCTCCAAAATCAAGATGGCGCACGGTGGATCGAAACCTGCAAAAAGTCGGACATGGGCGATTCTCACAAATAGTCATTTCATTGATGTAAATGTCTTCCCAAAGAGTTATATTTTATGATACAGGTATTGGTTTTCAATTTTTTAACCCCAGTTTAACGCACACAGCCTCCTAAAGTGGCTCAGGCGGCACTCGAAAAATGTTGCCTCACTCGGGACAAACCGTTCGCCTGTTGGCATTTCCCTCCGATAGATTTCTGACAATTTCTGACTAAAGTAGCTTGTCTTCCTCCTTAAGTAGAATATATTTCACTAATAACAAGTTAAAATATCGCTATTTTTATAAGCGGTATTCTTGCTTAAAAGTACCCTTCTCAATACCGTAAAAATAATAATATAGCTAGACTTTTAACTAGCTATTTCAGCGTATTTCAGGGAAACCTTTGTATAGCAGTGTTAACTGATCCCTGAAGATTCATTATCAAGAAAAATTGGCTGCTCCAAAGTGCCCTTTTGGGAATAAAGCTTAAATGATTTTGAAAAAGTGAAGTTCATAAAATGGTGGCTCGAGAGAATTCGAATTTCACAGGTCTGTGGCGAATAAACACCGGGCATTTGATAGGTGATCTGTATGTAATTTTTAGTGCTGAGTCCGAAAATGACCTTGGTTTTTCTCCAACACCCACCGATTTTCCGGAAAATTGAGATTTTCCACTTAAAATGGACTTTTCGGGAAATGTGATTTTCCGGAAAACTGGTGCATGGTAAAGAGAAACCAAGGTCATTTTCGAATCCAGGAGACAAAAATACATGAGAAAACATGCCTTGCGTGGTTAAAAAAATGTCCACGTTGTTTCAGATAACGGGGTTTTCCTCTCAAATGTCCTAATCGACGCATATGATACTGATCCGTTTGTTTTGCGTCTGAAAAGACGGGAAAATTATATCAAGTTGGGGTCTAATGGAGCATTTTTCATCTACTATTTGATTCTAAAGTCAACAATGGCCTAAATTCTTTTCTATCTTCTAACTATTTCCCAAAAACTCGTGTTTTTTGACATCGGATTTTTTTTTTTTTTTTTTTTTTAATTTCTTCGGAAAATTAGAAGTTAATAGAGAAAATTGAGGTAATTCGAGCTTCAGCAGCAATCATTAAGCCGAAGAAGCTCCATTAGATACCTAAGTATAAATAAAGGCAGTGTACAATGGTGACTCGCGGGGCCCTTAATTAGGAAGGCTCGGATAATACATGATTTTTTGTGTTGATTGATGTGTATTTGATTTGTATTTTTCTCTCATATTTTTCCCCCTTGTCATTTTCTTTTGTTAGAAAGCTAAAAAGGTGCCCCAGGAATGAAGGGGAAAGGAGATCCTCTGTTTTCCTCTCAACATTTTCGGATTTCTATTAATTCATTTTTTGGGGGAGAGGAGGGGGAATTGTGAAAGAGATGAGTAATATACGGTTTAGATACGATATTTAAACATTTTACCGGAGAAAAAAGTCCATTGAACACTTAAAACTCCGATTAAAATGAGTGTAGAAAGTTTAAACTTATCTGTTGTTAAACAATATCTCTTTATTTATCTGAAATTGTGCCAAAACACATATCTAAACCCAATTATCAGGAAAATAGTCATCAAAAATGAGATCTGCGACGAAAAATACATAAGAGTCATGTATCCTGATTTGTTTTATGAGCGCAAACACTACGTAAATGAGCAAACCAAGTCGCGTGATGTGCCATGTCCGGCCTGCCCTATGACTCGATCCACCGTGTGGCGGTCAAAATTCAGGCTGGGGGGGAGGGTGAAAATTATGGAATTTGTTTTTGATGTCATGATTGGGATCAATTTGTATGTAATTTTGGTCCTAAAGTCCGAATTTGAGGTCCAAAATACTCTCTGACCCAAAGGGATGCCCCATATCTAAGATGGCTGCCAAAATTTCTACGATTGGGTCAAAACCGCGATAGGTATGTAAAAATGCAAAGTAGGGTGTCCTTGGTAGGGTTCTTTGGGTCGTAGATTTCACCTATGATGTCAAAAACTTACCATGGATCCGTTGAAGCCCAAAAAAATCAAAATAGCGGCCAAAACGGCTGCCGTTGCGGCGTGAAATAGTTTGTTGAGGCTAATATCGTCAAATGATGTGTCACTGTATAGGTTTTTTGGGTTGTAGATTCCAAAAATTAGGTTCAAATAATAAAATAAACTATTAGAAGTTCTCTAACAGCCAAAGTGGCGGCCATAATGGCTGCAGCCTAGGCATTAAGAGCGTTTGAACAGTTATATACACTGTTGATTCAGTTCATTTGTATTTTTTGGGGGAATTATTATAAAATTGAAAATAGAAGTTATCGGCGGACCAACTTTGGAGGTATCTGATTGCAATTTATGTAAATTGAATGACACATCTTGAGGCAAAACCTTATCATTAGTTTTTGGAAAGGTAACAATGTGTTCACTTACCTTCTTCCCCGCTACATTCAGTTTTTCACTGCGAGAATCCTCCACTTCGGAGACGAAAATAAGAAAGTATTTAATTGAAAAATGCGAAAACTGCTGGTAAAGTAATTGAAATAAATGCTGTTGCTGAGAAATAGGTAAGTAAATGAAGAGGCTCCAATTAGTTTGAATAATTTATAATTGAAGACTTAAAAATTAGTATTTTACGAAATGTTTCAATACATATACTGAACGATGTATTAGGAGATTGCATTTGCAGGTGGAATGTGGAGACAAATTTACACTTTTTTGCAAAGGAAGCATTAAAATAGAGATGATTGTCAGTTTTTCCCTGATTTCGAATCGGAGAGATAAATAAGCAGTGAATAATATTGTGCAAATTAGCAAATAGCGCCCAAGTCCATCTGAAAAAAAAATAACGTAAGAAAGTTAAGAGCTGAAGAAAAGACACATAAAATTGAGAATAATAGATTTACAGTGACAAGTAATTAGAGACCTGCATTGTTTAACAGGAGGAAAACTTAAATGGGAACACAATAAAAAAAAATTCGTTTTGCAAGGTGTCAAAACAAAATTATTTTTTTGAACTGAAACTGCCAACGGAAAAAACATCTAATATGTTCGTTCGGTCACAACTACTCAATAGAGTCGAACTGACTGTTTTGGATTCTCCTACCTCAATTTACATACTAAGAACTAGAAACTAAAGAAAAAGTTCAACACCAAAATGGTGTAGATATGAACCAAAAATACATGAAGTCACAGCTTTCATGAGATCATTGAAATTGTGTCATTTTACCAAAAAAGAACACAATTCGTTTGGGAACAGTTTTTAATAGTTTCATTAGTCTCGTGTAATTGCAAGTACGCACAATTTAATCAAGCTGAAACATTTTCATAAGATAGTCCGGGAGCACATGTAGTCCCGTGGGACCGTTAATGATACAAGTTGGCGAGATGGCTTGATCTCTTCGTCTTGATGTCCTGAAACAGAATTTCGATGCTGCCAGGCTCATTTCCCGGAACACCCTTAAATTCAAGATGGCGCCCAAAATGGCCGCCACGGGGGTGAAGTGGGTGAAAGTGACTCCCATGGTCGACATGTACGTCGATTCCTATGTACTTTTCGTCGAAAATTTCAAATATATGCTTAAAAATGTACTCCGGCTTCCTAAAGACCCTTAAATCCAAGATAGCGGCCAAATTTCCCCTCCTGAAAGTCAAACGGCCACGTGTGCTCCTATGTGGCATGTGAGGTATCTTTCATACCACTTTTTGGGCCATAAAATCGAAAAATGATGTTGAAAAATCCTTTGCGATTTATTTAAGGCCTCAAATTACAAGATGGCGGCCAAAATTTCTGAAATTTTGGGACCAAAAATTCTATAATAGCTTCTCATATCATGTGACGTATCGAACACCATAGATTTCTGGTCGTAGAATCCAAATCTTGAATTCAAAATTCACCCCGGCCCCTTGGGAAGTCCAAAATCCAAAATGGCCGCCGAAATTATCCCTTAGAGGATCATACAGTCAGCCTTGACCTTAGAATAGCAAGATATGTATCCATTTACAGGTTTATTGGGTCGTAGAACTCATAAATGAAGGTTGAAGCAACCTTCCTTTTACAATTTGCTACATTTTAGTTTTAAGAATTGCGGCCAAAAGACGTGAAGCGTGTGGATTTAAGAAATATTTCAATTTTACACGTTCAAAAAATTAATCACAACTGCTAACGTCATCACTTATTCTAATGGATAAGCCCTGATTCGCAATTCACTTATTTGTAGAAAACATGTGTCAATAGTTCCAAACTTGATTTAATCCTGTGAAACAGCAATTTATCAGCCCCGCCCTTAAAATGTAATTTTTTCGACCATCTTCCCTAGAATCACGAAAAGAGAGAAAAAACCCTAAAAACGTGACCCAAACTGTGTGAAATGTGGCAAAATAGTGCTGGGTCCTTGCTATTTTGAAAACAAAACCAGAAAATTCCAAAATTTTCAATTGGAGTCAAAAATTTTGAGCTCGAATGGATAACCAGTACGACAGTACATGACTGAAAGGGAAGAGCGTTCAGCTCAGGCAATTAGCATCAGAATATGAAGTAGAGGCCACGGCGAGAGATCTATAATTTTGGGTCTTGTTATAGACCTCGTTAGTAGATCACACTCGTTAGTGAGATCAAAAGCCAAAAAGTTGAAAAATTTTCAATCTGAGTCAAAAATTTTGAGATCCAATGAGTACCAGTACGAAACTTGCCGTCTTGTAATTCAAAACTTGTACTTCGAACTTGAGCTTTGATGCCGTCTTGGATTTTGCGAGATTTTCAGTTGGATTCACATGACGAGTGTGATCTACTGATGAGGTATAAAAAGACCCAAAATTATAGATCTCTCGACGTTACCTTACCTTCATATTCCAATGCAAACTGCCTGAGCTGCTCCCAATTTTTGACTCTGATCGAAAATTTTTGAACTTTTTGGCGTTGTTTCCCCCCCCCCAAAGTGTGGACCCAGTACTATTTTGCCACCTTTTTACACAGTTCGGGTCACGTTTTTAGAGTTTTTTCTCTTTTTTCGTGATTTAGGGAAAATGGTCGAAAATATCACATTTTAAGAGCGGAGCTGATAAACTGCTGTTTTACAGGATTCAATCAAGTCTAGGAACTATTGACATATGCCCTCTAGAAGTAAATTTTACGCTCTTTTCAATGAGCATGACAGTTTTTTTTCTCAGATAATTGTGGCTGGAGGTATGAAGCAAAGTTTCTCCTTATATGAGCAAAAATACGCCTTTTTTAAGCTAATTTTTGAAGAAAACGTTAATTTCACGACCAAAAAATTAAGTTAGAAAAAATAAAAGAGAATGATTTCGATAGGAAATTTTATCTTTCCGCTGGTTTTTTTGTTTTTTCGTGAGATGAACCGTTGAGGATATATTTGCAAGTATCTAATCGTGAGTTTTCTCAATTTTGAAAAATTCAAAATGGCGGCGCCCTGAGGACCAGCCAATTTTCCTGAAATTAATATGGCCGTTTTCGGGCTTCTGTAGTACCTAGGAATCGAAAAAAATTGGTTTGGTTCGAAGGACAGAACCCACGTTGACCGGTGTTATCGGTGTACAAATAGTTAAAAACTCTAGACAAAATTGTTTAAAAAATAATTTGGTTTATGCCTCTCGTTATTGAAGGGATGTTCAGACAAAATTAGTTTTCAGACATTTAAAATATAATTTAGTTCAATTTTGAAAGTTCATGTTTGTTAACTGTCAACAAGCCCGGTTTTTTCGTCTCGCTTTGTTTTTTGTTCCTCTCCTTGGTAACAGTTGATTAGCAATATCTGCATTACCAAAAATATCCTACATTTCTACGAATAGCTAGGTGCTACAAAATGCAATTGATTGTTTAGTGTTAGTGCTCTTGTTTATGAATGATAAGTATAAGTATTTACAAAGGTTAAGTTGTGAGGCATCCTGAAAGGATCCTCTTCTAGTGTTCTCCTTTGAACTATTTTCCTTCCAATGTCCATTGAAAAGACTGAACCTAGAGAAAAACCAAAAACGCCCTTAATTCTTATCAAAAACCTGTGCTTGCTTCGTTTATTTCCAAAAATGTACACCTTTGATGGGTGTATCATGTCGCTTTATAAACCTTTTCTCCTTTCGTTACTTTGTGTGTAAATAAAACCTCATTTTTATTTCTGCCCAAAAAAATGACAATCCTATCTCGTTTAGTGTCATCTTCCTAATGCTACATCCTTTATTCATTATGATTTGCCATCTTGCCCATTAAATTTATACTGAAGGGGGGTGGGGGGGTTCTTAATAGTTTGGAAGGCCAATTTAACCTTCATTTATGAATTCTACGACCCAGTAAACCTGTAAATGGATACATGTCTTGCTATTCTAAGGTCAAGGCTATGACTGTTTGATCCTCTAAGGGATAATTTCGGCGGCCATCTTGGATTTTGGACTTCCCAGGGGGCCGGAGTGAATTTTGAATTCAAGATTTGGATTCTACGACCAGAAATCTATGGGGTTCGATACGTCACATGATATGAGAAGCTATTATAGAATTTTTGGTCCCAAAATTTCAGAAATTTTGGCCGCCATCTTGTAATTTGAGGCCTTAAATAAATCGCAAAGGATTTTTCAACATCATTTTTCGATTTTATGGCCCAAAAAGTGGTATGAAAGATACCTCACATGCCACATAGGAGCACACGTGGCCGTTTGACTTTCAGGAGGGGAAATTTGGCCGCTATCTTGGATTTAAGGGTCTTTAGGAAGCCGGAGTACATTTTTAAGCATATATTTGAAATTTTCGACGAAAAGTACATAGGAATCGACGTACATGTCGACCATGGGAGTCACTTTCACCCACTTCACCCCCGTGGCGGCCATTTTGGGCGCCATCTTGAATTTAAGGGTGTTCCGGGAAATGAGCCTGGCAGCATCGAAATTCTGTTTCAGGACATCAAGACGAAGAGATCAAGCCATCTCGCCAACTTGTATCATTAATGGTAATAATGGTCCCACGGGGCCCCAAAAATGAACATGTGCTCCCGGACTAAAAATAAATTGGACGAAACTTCAGTATTGCAAAAAACTTACGACTTACGACTACGAACAATACAAAAATTAGCTTTACTCAATGAGTAGTAGTAACTGCTTAAGTACCAATGGACCTTCTTTGGAATATTTTCAGTCAATTGGTAAAATTAGTAGCCATTGTTACTTTCAGCTAAAGGATCGTGGACCACACTGTTGCACCATTTTCAATACTTTATTTTTTTGTAATGGAGCAAGGATATCAGATGGTGATTCTTGCAGGATATTCATTGCTGAATTTGAATATGCACTTTTACATATCACAGCCGAATTTTTCGGATGATTGAAGTTTTTCCTAAACAACGTAATACTTAAAAAAACTGGTGCATGATGTCATTTCTGGATTCAGCAGCTCATCATCTAAGATCCTTGTCTCAGTATAATGGTAGACCTGAGCCTTTTATTTCAACTTATAACGACAAACGACCAAAAATGTATTTTTGAAAAAACATAATAAAAGTAGATAAAAAAAAAATAAATAATGAAAAACGAAATAAGACAAAAGAGGTAACTTTATTTTGGCCACAGACTTCTGAAGTAATGTTTCTAGTCCTCTTCAGTAGAAGAGAAGTCAATGTGATTGTCCGAAGATGACAGCAAGGACGATTAGACGATAGTATTGGTGCAGTTAGTTGAATCACTGTTACAAACGCCCATTTCTGTGCAGGGCAGGCCATGAACACGGCAGCTCTAATTCTGGAAACATTTTGAGGTCTAACATGAGCACTTTTCATATCTATTAAAATATCTTCTAAAAATATCTATTAAAAATCCTGGAGCGCTAAGTTCAGATGAGAGGATGGGCTTGAAACCATTTTCAGATTGGATCCAGCCATGATCAGTCGGTGACGGAAGGTCTTGCAAACTTCTAACATCTTGTTGCCATACCATGGCCTGATAATTTGCACGTTTGAATGCGGGCAAAAGAGCACTTTTTGTAGGTGGAAGATGATCGTCGAACTGATTCTTTTTTGTAAAGATACATCACCTTGCCTCACCAATGTCTTGAATGGAAGTGTTTGGAATATAGTTGACAAATAAATCCCTCGAGTGTCTTAATCATTTCATATGATAGAATCCGACTCTTACCTTAGTTAACCAGAGCCTCTAGGACCTCGTTACTACAACTTAGGAAACACTTCCACCAAGTAGATTTGCCTTTGTTTGCGAAAGACCATGTGGTATCGCAACCGGATAGAACATGCAGTCCCGGCAATGCCGCTACTTTAAGGGGTCCAAGAGAATCAAATATAGGTTTTAGACTCACATATCTTCTCATTCCAGCGCCCATGAAAATGCCAGTATCTTGAGGAAGGACTAGTTACCTCCGAAGAGCAAGAATGAAGACATCAGTGTCGGGCGAGAATATGTGTAAAGTGTTGCAACCGTTCTTAGCTACGTCCTTGTCGTGTAGTATGATTTTTGTGTCAGCTTCTTAGTGATTGCTTGCCACCACTTCAACACTTTTGTGAGACGCTTTTGCTGTAGTGCACTAGCTCACGACGATTTTTCTCTTATGTTCAGAGGCGTACTTCAGATACTGCGATAGGAAATTAGTCAGTTCATCTTTTGTGTTTTCATGAGATAACAGCTTTTTCATGGAAGTGTTGCTAATGTTTGTAGTTGGAAGAATTTTGTATTAGCTACGTCCAGAGACACTTTGTCGTTGATTTCGAATAGCTTCTTTTAGAGGTCCCTCTCTATAAGTATGCATCGAACACTATGTGCACTTCATCGTAGTTTGAAAACTTCTCGCTGGTAAAAGACAGAAGATGTAACTTTATTTTAGCCACAGACTTCTGAAGTAATGTATCTAGTCCTCTTCAGCAGAAGAGAAGAAATGGAAATCTTACAGAAATGTTTTGCAAGTTCGCCACACGTTTTTAGTGTAGATGGCTTATTGAAAGTGTGCAAGAGGGCCATTCTGTCCTCGATTGCCACCTTAAACGAAGCGTGTGTCAAAGGACTCTGGTGGGGGAGATGGCTAGGGTGTGTCTTATTTTTGAGTTTTTCAAAATCCGAAAAGCGCTACCTCTAAGAAGTTTCTCTCTGGTGTAAAAATAAACATACTTTTTGAAAAATTCAAAAATTTTAATTTTAACCCACCTCCCATGGGACAAAAAGGGCCTAAGTGCAAAGTTTGAATTTCTTCATTTTTAAGGTGTCATTCTAAGGTAGTAATTATAAGTTACGGTTCCCTGGACGAAAATTTCGTCCGCTTTGCCGTATCGTGCATTTCAGTGGCATAAATAGCCTTTGAAACGTATTTGCTGTGCCGCGCGTGCAGTGCCTGCCGCTCGCACGCAGCGCACACACCCATACTTACCTGACGCCACGACGCGACGACGGTCCGCGGAAACCCTAAGTGGACTTTTTGTTCCTTTAATAAGTAAAACGACCCATAAAGAAAGTGAGGCACATCAAAATCCATTATTATGCACACCAGGTTAATGAAGGGTATGTTACGGAGGTAAAACACATTTAGCAAAAATATTTGGGTTTATTCAGACATGAAAAGATCACAAACACTTTAAGAATTTACGGGCTTTTGATTTTCTTTTTCAATTTCACAATCTTTTTGACATTTTAAGAAGTTAATGGCAAATCTTGATATTCATCCTCTTTTTTAGTTATCAATCGCCTTCATGTTTGCATGTGTCGAACTGCCCTTCCAGCGGAATCGTTGACCACTCTCAAACTTTTTACAACTTCCCTCGCCTTCAAGTAGTTAGGATTATCGTCTCGCTCCAAAGGTGAAACAAAAAAGTAATTGTCTGGAATATGTAAAATTCTGAAGAGCGTTTTACTACTCGTTGTAAATAGATCGGGTAGGCTGGGAAATTCCTTAGCTTAAAGGGATTTGGCAGCGTTTACAATTAGGAGGGTCAGGAAGGCCATGATTATTCGTCACATTGAGGATGCAAGTCTCTCTTTCCTCTGTGAAAAGTCGCATAACGAATAGAGATGAAGGAATTAGAGTCTCACTAGGGTACCATAAATGGTTTTATAGTTTTCTTAAGGCTAATGTAACAGCGGTGCAATAATTTTTTTTTTTGTTGTAAATTTACATACCTATCGCAGTTTTGACCCTATCGTGGAAATGTTGGCGGCCATCTTGGATTTGGGGCATCCCTTTGGGTTGGAGAGTATTTTGGACCTCAAATTCGGATTCTAGGACCAAATTTACACAGGAATTGACCCAAACCATGACATCAGAAACAAATTCCATTATTTTCACCCCCCAGCCCCCATTTTGGCCGCCATCTTGATTTTGGGGGGTTAGACGCAAAATTGAGCTCGACAACATCGAAATTCTTTTCTTACGTATCGAAATGAAGAGATTAAGACATTTTCCACACTTGCTTCACTTACTGTTCCATGGAAGTACATAAGAACCCGGACTAAAATATGGAGCATCTCCTAAGTATAATGAGAATGTGATAAATCAATGTCTCGAAAAATGTCAGTTACAACTCTTTTGCTTCAAGCCACTGATATATTGAAGCTTTCGTCGACACTCAACAATACCCTTAAGTTGAGCTGACAATGAGTGACTGTAGGGAAAAGGTTTTTCGAGGAAACCAATAACAGCAAATGAATGAATGACTAGAGAAAATTTTGTTCGATTAAACCAATCACAGCATGGAACTCGTATTCCAAAGGAGATGCAAGGTACTTCTCATGGAAAGATCTTAATTTTTCTAATATGTAACATTCCGTTTTTAGGAGTTGAACTTCTTGAATCCAAATGCAAATTGAAAATTCATTTGGACGTTTCACAGATCAACTTCAACACAACCAAGGTAAATATCTATTCTTTCATTCATTCATATTATTTATTTCTTGATGTTCTAATGGAACTCTTTTCTTTCAGCTCTCAATCTTACTATTTTTTTTCGAATCATAATAGGGTTCTCTCTTTTATTCGGGTCCTTGTTCAGAACATATGGATTGCAATAATGATCTACAATTTCTAGCTCATCCTTAGAAGCATCTCTCTGCATAGAGAAACTAATGGCACACGCACCGTTTCTAAAATGAGCCAAATGCTCTAGTTCCTAATTGCAAGATGTAGTCCGTTTATCTTTCATTATGTCTGCAGTCCCCCTCAGTCCTGTAAATTAATCCATTTTACCGGTTCATTTGTCTCGGAAATGAGTCAAAATCGTACTGTTCACCAGAGTTGGAGGTTTTTTTCTGCCCTTTCTTTTTTCTAGTGCTACGATCAATTTTTTCCGAGAAACCAGTGAAAAATGCCATGGCTCTTTAATGCAAATTGTATGATCCCTTTTAGCTCAGTAGCCTGAGAATATGTGAACATATGCTCGTAAGAAATTTACTTTTACTGTTAACAAAATAATAACATTAATAGCAAACAGTCAAATATTCACTTGACTTTTTGTAAAGTAGGAAATTCGTTGAGCCAAGTAGTGACCCTTTTTCAAATAATGTATCAAGTTACAGTCAATTACAATTTTCTAAAAAATATTCATTCTCATGCATTTTGATACCTTACTGAGAGTGTACACTGCTTTGGAAAGTCTGGAAATAATACTATTTTTTAAGGGCAGTCGGGAAGTACTGAAAAAGTATGGAAACTCTACAAGAAGCTCCAGCATTATTTGCCTTATACTGCACCTGTTTTTTTAGACAGTCTGGGAAGTATGTAATGCTTCCTCCATTGATTTTTAGTTCATCATTTACCCACTAGATTACAATTGTGCAATCAGATGAACTTCGACTTTAGTGACTCATCATTTTTGTGGCGATTTGCGCAAGAATTTCAAAGTTTTGAAACGTTTTGAATTTTGTCACCTGAAGATACCAAAAAAGCACTGAATTTCTGCCAGCCAGTTTTAGTAGACACTTGTCTTAGTATCCAAATACGTTTTGACCCCTCACCGTTCAGCCATCATCAGGACTCAAGTTTCGGTCCTGCGCATGGAGACCTTGTGCGGGAAATTATTGCTTAATCGTTTCTTTTTTCCTCTTTTCCAAGCACAGATCAAAATAAAATCCAATTATACCCTTGTGTACCCATGTGTACAAGAACTTAAGTGGCTGTTGCCAGCTTTTTTGACTGAAATCAGCAAAATGCCTATTTGTTATTGAACGTTTGATTCAACTTGTCAAATTTCCTTTTTTACAAGCGCATAGTGTGTGCGAGTTTTAGACATCCTCCAAGTTTTATTCCTTGAAATTTGCAATTTTTTCCCTCTGTCTCAGGCTTAATATCAGGAATAGCAAGAAAGTAACCAACCAAAAAGTTAAGAGATGTACTGTGTACTTAGGGAGCACATCCGATGGTTCATCAAATTAACTCTAAGCTCCCTAACTTTTTATATATTTATGATGACAGTGGGTCTGTTGTAAGCTAGAAGTTCAGGTCAATTCGCTCGAAAATCACGAGGGGTACATGAGAAAAGTCTGAAATTTGCTCCTTACCGCGCAATCTGCGTAGTTTGTAAAACGCTTTTTCAAATTTACCGAGTCCTCGGGAAGTTTTTCTCAGGCACCGCCGACCAGGTTTGCACAGGCACAAATACCTCTGACGCATGCTGCCTGTTGTGCTGATTGTTTTATTTGTGTTGGTGTCAGAATATAGCTGAATCAAAGGCTTTTCTAGTTCAGAGGGAAGGAATTTATCTTAAGAGAATTATCTGATTCTGTTGCGCAGCCTCTCATACCACAGCCAGACTTAAAGTCCATATGCTTCTTTTAAGGTCAGCAGCAAATTAGGCTCATCGTAGAATGCATTTTCTCGAGAAATGTTACAATAATATTCGATTAGTAAAGACCTTAGACGTCTAATGAATAATGCAGGAAATTGACTCCTAACAGAAGTCAATATAAGTGAGAATTTTTTTTTTTAGCCACCAGTTACTTTATTTAAAAGACCTGCAAAGTGTAATCTACATTTTACCATTCATGCTAGATATTCCAGAGAATTTGATCAGTAATGAGTCTAAGTATGTAGACTCTAATGGAAAATCCACCGGACGATGACGCTGGTGTTTTGAAGACAGTTACAAAAAAAAAAACAAATGTTTGCAAATTCGTAACAGACAAGTATTGAAGTCTGAAGTCTACCATACATACGACTAAACGTAGATTTGAAAGATTAGATTGAATGATTAAATGTAGCTGTGCTATATTAGCTGGACCCGGGCAATCTGACAGGAGAGGTCTTGTGCCTGCGGGGAGGGAGTTGGGCACCGCTGACAATCAGTGATAAAGCCTCGAAATTAACCAAAATTGTCCCATAAAAATTTTAGTATTCTCATAGAATAAAGGGAGAAGGGACAATCCCTATTTGCCTGATCTGTAAAAATTTGTACCCTCTGAAACACAATCTTTATAAATTTCAATGATGAAACAATGATGATCAGCTTCAATGAAGAGCACCTAATAAATACAGCAAAATTTAACCAATATTGTTCATGGCGGTTGAAAGATGGAAATTTTAATTTTACTCCTCCCTTTGATAAATTTTAATTTGGGAAAATATGTTCCTCATAGAGGCCCAACCCCTTTCCTGCTAGCACCATTTACATTTTTAAAGCAGATTCAGTCTTGATTGCGTGCTGAATGGGCTCCTTAATGAACAGATATGCAAAATTGCATGCCATTTCATATATGCTAAAATTTCATGGAATTTTGTGGAACTTCTGCAATAGTATACTCAGTAGGCCATGAAATGCGCAGAATTAATAAAATCTCAATATTTAACAAAATGAGAGTCAAATCCTTCAGTTTATTTTGAGATAATTGTGCGGGTGGCATACACTACTGTTGAGGAGTCTGTGAACTTTTATGCCATATTAAATTTCATTTTGCATCTCTGATAAGTGATGATGACAAAAATCTTTGAAAAAAAGAAATGGATGCTGAGGACGGTTGCTGAAGACTCATTCTTCTTGCTGCTGTTTTTTCTCTTCTAGAATGCAACAATAAACAGTGACACTGCAGCGTTTTTCTTAATGGGAGGAAACGTCCTTCACTCGACTATCAGGCATTAAAATTAACTTGATCTTAAAAAAATATTTAAATTTTAATTAAGTATGTGGTTGCCTCAAGTCCGTTCAAGGGGGTGGATCTCGCCCGCAATCCGTAAATTATAAACACCGGCGCACAAGGCGCTCTCATCTTTGTTGTGTACATGGAAACATTGATGAGCTCGATCACTGATCACGCAGTGCCCCTTGATGGAGATTCGGGGTTAACCGCCGAATTCCAACTGTTGACCGTCCAAGTCGCCAGTCGGAAAGATTCATTAACTGCTAGCCACCGAGAAAAACTGTCTGCATACGCGGTGAATTTAAAAAAGCGTTTACAAACTACATGGATTGCGCTTTAAGGAGTGGATTTTAGACTTTTTTGATGTGCCCAACGTGATTTTCAAGCAAATTTACTTTCAAAATAGTATTCAGTTGGTTGTATCTTTTGCTTGCAACAGACCCATTGTATCGGATGAAGGATGGAGCTGCTTACTCCATCTTCAACTTTATCACGACTAATAGCAGCTTTATCATGTCTCATTTCGTGATAAAGAGGGAAGATGGAGTGTGCAGCTCCAAAACAACTGTCCTTTTAAATGGTTAAAGAGTGATTAAGCGCACAGTTTTTGTAATTAACAACTGGGTATACCCATTGTCTTAAAATTTTACTGTTTAAAAAGATCCATCCCCATCCGCAATAAGTACACGGTACGAAGTGAAAGTACTCAGTAAGAATTCATAACTTCCTTCCAACTTTCCAACCTTCTTTGCAACGCCTGAAGGAACTACTGTTGAAGCCTCCCGAAAAATTTGCCTCTGTTTATATAAGAGCAGTATATGAGTCATTTATGAAAAACTTGCATGTTTTAGGTACTAAACTTGCGTCAATGTCTGAATACTTTAAGTTGCAGTTATATATGTAGGTATCCTTAATGGTTTTTTGTGTGAATTTTTTTCTTGAGGGCAAAGTCACTACAGCGTTCAGAAAGTTGTTCTGGCAGTATAAAAAAGCAGAAAATTGTAAGTCACACAAACTTTCAAGAGGAAAAATTTAGGTATTTTTGGTCCCTCTTTAAGTTGATGAAAGTAGCTCAGCGTTCTTTTTGAAATCTGTATCTTTTCATTTGGTAATTTCTTAGCTCCCGTGGGAGTTAGATATGTGGTTCAACCAGCTGTTAGATTTTACAGTAAAATACTGTGTATCACTGTGACTAGCTCTAGATTGATGTACAAGCATATAAGATCAATCGGACATTTTTCCACTTTTCAACAAAACCGTAATCTGTATCAAAGTAATTTAAAAAAAAAAAAACTGGCAAAAATCAATAATTGAGAGTGTAGGAGGAACTCAATATCCCAAAAATGTTTAAAATTTCCAAGTAATGGACTAGAATTGAAAGAATTAATTGCTTTAAGTTCTTTGGTGTAAGTTGTATAGTTTTTCTTTCTCGAATTTACTGTAGCCTCAAAAAAAAAATAATACAATTGCACCATGAAAAGTGTTAGGCTTAAAAGAGCATGAATCCAAACAAGGTTCAAGGATAAGTTAGGATTAAATCCATTTTCCGTATAATATGTAACAATGTGTGACGGGATCTGTGAAAAGGAACCTCAAATATTTCCCAATAATTGAAATTTTTTTCATCAGCACCACTTTATAGAGTAAGAAAATGTGGAAATTTTGGTGCGGTGCTAGTTTGACCCTCAAAGCTTAAAAATTTAAGAAAGCATGACGTCCTGAAGTTTGAAGGCAAAAGTGTGTAAGTTTTAGTTCAAACTTAGAAGATTTCTGGCATTCACAAAGAAAAAGGAGTATGTAGCATCTTCTGAAATGAGAGAATGAAACTAAAACTACGCATAGCTTGTTCCAAAGACTCCAAAAGAGGGTTTAGTTTAATGTTAAGTTGTTGAAATGGCCAACCTCAAAATTTTGCCCTAAATTTGGTTCTTTTGGGAAATTTTTCCATAGAAGATATAGTCCTTTTTCACAAACCCGGTCGTATATAGATTTTTGAAACTTCCAAGCCTAATCACATTGGTGCTAAGCTGCAATCTTTGCTTCAGCGCAAATAATTCATCTTGCCTAGTATAAGTTACAGTTGTCAACGATACTCTTTTTGTTAGGAAAAGTGACTTTGTGCCCCTTTGATCCTACATGCCTCCATCTCTGTTAGTTTACTTTCCTAGAAATAATCTTCTGTGGGATAAGTACCACAGAAGTTTTAGTTAAATTCCTCCCAAAATATGTTAGTATATCAACTGTCTTTCTGTAGCTTCTCAATTTTTGTTCTCTCACAAGCAAGTTGAGGGTTCTGTTGATCACAGACGCTTCTCTAGTGTGGTATAGGGGGGGGCTCTGAACCTGTTTATTTAAACTGTATGAGGTCCCCGTTGCACCTCAGCAGAGAAGCCTCTGGGGACGACGGGACCCATAAATTCGGATACCTTGGCGTCCATTACTCTCAGAAACATCTTTTTTCCAAGCCTCTCCTTCAAATTAGCGAACTTGTATTTATTGAAGGTGGGGGAGCTCTGTCCCAATCACTAGGAGTCAGTATTTCGGACAAAGATTTTGGATTTCTTGGTGTTGGCCAGGGTTAAAATTTTCTTTACTCAGCTATTCCGATGAAGCAATTCCAAAATTTTGATGTCAACCCCAACTTTTAAAGTACAAACCCTCTTTTTACCCCTCCAAGGGACACTTTGGGGTTTCAGGTTCATGAAAGGATTCCTTGGGGTTGATTCTCTGTGTAGCTGTGGTCTTGGACTTTGTCTGACCTAAAATAATGGAGAAAAAGGCCAGGTAGGTACCATAGGTCTAGGCCACCCTGTATGTTAGTAAGAATAAGTAATACTCATTTTTATAGTGATTACCATTTTCCATGAGACTTACCTGCCCAAATAAAATCCGGCTTATGGTTGAAAGTTAGGAAGATTTTTTCCATTACTTTTGAATAGTTCATGTTTAGAAGGAAAAGACCCAGTCACTTGGAAAATCCTTTTGTTTTTTCTAAAAAAAGTCATTCTTTTTTCAGTAGATCTGAATCTTCAAGCTGTTTCTCTCTCCATTACCATTACGAATTAAGGTGGATCTTCAGGTTTTGTGCAATGCATTCTGCGCCCGATCGTTACATCTCAAATTTTAACCTTTTTAGGTGTATTATTTTGGGAAAATCTAAATTTCAGTTTGTACATAAATCATTGAAGAATGTTCCTGCCTAAAATCATCCTCAAAAATCTGAAAGTAAAGTCAAAAGTACCGTTTCCATTTTGCAAGCAACTTTAATGTATCGATATCGATTGTCAATTGGAAGCAGTATTTTTGACTGAATTTTAAGATTGTTAAGGATGATTTTCGGCACGAACATTCTTCAACTCAAATTTAGATTCTCCCGAAATAATTCACCTAAAGGTTAAAATTTGAGATATATCGATTGTACCCAGAACGTGTTGCGCAAAAGCTGAAGATCCACTTAAAGGTAGTCAGAGGAAAGACCACTCCAGAGAGGTTTCCAAGTACTTATGAGTCAATAATTTGGAAGGCTAGCTCTCAAATGCCTCTTCAGACTCATATTTTTATCTTCAAAAACTGGATGTGAAAGTGCAGGAGATTAAGCAATATACAAGAGTTTTTCTCATGAAACTGTCTAAAAATAAAACCTGTAAGTCAAGAGAATCTCAACATATCTATTCTTACCCGCAAAAAAAGGACTTAATGCATAATACTAAGAAATTGGGTGTTGGCTAAATTTCTATATTATTGAAAGGATGTTCCTTACTGCCAAGACCAATCCACACAGGTCAGTCATTCCCGAGGACGAGTTTTGGTACTCTACTGCGCAGTGACGTAGTATTGAGTGCCAGCAATGTATTTCTTATGGGAGCACCCATTGTGACGTAGCATTGAGTGCTGCGAGTTAGGGCCGGGCGGGGGAGTGGATTTCAAAAAAGCTGTGCAATGACTGACCTGTGTGGATTGGTCTTGCTTACTGCTTCCTGAGCACAAGTTTTTTAAAATCCACTTTGTTTGTGACCATCATGAGAAAAGCAGGGCTGATAAGTGGATTTTAGCATTTTTACATGCTGTATCTGGTAGAAATATTGCAACATCTTATCGGTGAACAAAGAGATCTTTTGCCCTCACAAGCCGGAAAGATAAAACGATGAAAAGAATCTACATCCTCCGTATAACAACAGTGTGCTGCGCAGTGAACACACACCTTCACATTCCATTTGAAAACGCATGTAAGAAGGCCAAAAAATTATTATTTCAACCCTGCTAATCTCTACTTTGGCACTCGGACAATTCAATTTCAAAAGCTCACTGTGCTCAAGAGGCCGCAAGGAACATCATCATATCAAGTAAGTATCAGTAATAACGAAGTATAACTGGCGCTGAATTTCTTGATATCATGTGGCGTAGTCCTTCCTCTAGAGTCACCAGCCAGTCATGATTACAGAAGCCTTTTTAATAAAAATTTTGTTTCAATATAGAACATGAAAACGGTTTTCAAGTCTAGTTCAAAAGCAATCGTTGGTCCAAGAAATCAATGAAAATAAAGAAAACAGAACAAGCGTTTTATATCTTTTTTGGCGATACTCTAAGAATCAGAGACAAAATTTTCACCTGACCAGTAAATTAAAATTTCTTAAAATGGAAAGGAGCTTTGTGGAATATTTAGAAAAATTCTACAGGAATGCAGAATTGATATGTAGAATTTGTTTCCTGTTCATTTCAAAGTTTTTGTCCAAGCCATGAAAAATTATATGGTCTTCCTTGTAGACTTGTTTATGTGCATCTAAAGGTAAATTTAAGTAGACCTAAATGTATGGGGTTTTCATTTAGTTGAAACTTGCTAAAATTGAAATAGTCGTAAATTAGTGAGTAGTATCTGATCTCAAGCTTTAGTTTAGTTTTTTATTCTTTTTTATTACAAATAATGATTCATATCCTTGCTGTCTGTAAATAGATCTACTGACTATGTGTATTTTTAATTTAAGTGGCAAGTAGTATTCAATTAATTTCTCTTCTATGAACGTGTTTGATTCAGGGTCAGGGAAAGCGTAAAAAGCTTGGATTAGTCAGGAATTTTAATATTTTGTGGAAAAGTCAGGGGAGAATACCAAGGAATTTCATTTTTAAAACGAAAATTTCCGGGGAAGCTCGAAAAAAAATTGTAAGTATGCATGAATTGACTCAGGTGCCTCAAAAGTTTAGTTTTATTTTTGACCCGATACTTACCTCGGCTGTTTTTAACGCTTCAAAGTGAAGTTGAATAACCGCTTCTCATGTGCAGCTAACATCTTTCACATCGGGTCCTCATAGAACGCTTTTCATTCTTTTCAAGACAGGTATGAACAGCATTCCCATATCTGAAAGTTTTATTTTCTTTAAGTACAGAAATGTCAGTGACATTGAAACCGAATAAATAAATTTAGGGAGAACACCAGCAGAAGACTGGTGTAGCTGGGAGCCTTTTTTTTAACCAATAGTGAGGTTTTTTGACTCCATTTGGTTTATAGAATATGCCCAGAAAATTTCTTCGCTCGCTAATTAGTTATCAATACAGAAAATCTCACTTTGGCAAGTTGATCTCCTGTTTTTCAAGAGGAATTGCAGAAATTTTGCATCATTAGGCAGAACCCAAAGCATTTGAAATAACAACAATAAACAATGACATGAACAAAAAATTAAAATGCAAATAAAAAAAAAAAAATTGGTTTTTTATGGGAATAGGTACGTTGCTTTTGTTTGTTTTTAAAATATTGTTGGACAAAGCTTGCGACTTTTCTTTTAATTACCAACATGGTACATCTAGCAGTGGGCCACAGAAATTTTGGTCGGTTTTTCAACAAAAACAACAGATTGGTGAATTGCTAGTGGGGAATGTGTAAATAACAAGTAGGTACACGTTTTTTCTAAGATCAGTCAAGCAAAGAGATCATATGAGAGGGTAAAATTTGAAGCACCTTAGGGCATGTTTTTTAATTAAAATTTTGTTCCGAACATGTTGAACATACCCAACACATGCAAGTTCAACACATGGAAGAGAGATTAGCACTTATTGTTCACAGTATAGTCAGAGAATTCAATCCTCTTGCTCGCGGATAGAAACAAAATCAACATAAGTCAACCTGCTCATTAAAAGCAAACTTATCATTAGACCATCAATTAAAGTAAGGTTTCATGAACCTATTTATCCTTATTTAGGCATTAAATTGTCAAAATAGATGGATCTGACTCATGGAAAGTTTGAATTGACTGACAAGGAAAAAACTTAAATCTCCCTTATAAGTTGAAATTGGAATTTTTAATGTGTTTATCGCATTGTACATTTAATTCTGAGGAGGAAATAGTAAGTAGCTGTGCTTGATCTTTGACCCTGTTAACAGCAGGCTGATCATTGAAATTGAAAGACAAAGAGAAAATGGAGTGATCCTATCGGTTAAAACAGGTGGTTGTCCTAGAGTAATGGTAGGGGGAAAAGTATGGACTAACTACTGGATTTCATGTGAGTCAGGATTAGTTGGTCTACTACCTAGGTACTTCCTTTGTCCATTGCAACCACCCACTTCCATCAATAGGTTTACTTCTTTGTCTCCTTTGTCTCTTGCTTCCTCTATGAATTTCAAGAATCAGCCTGCAGTTAGTTGAAAAGGTGGCATTACTGACATAAGAAAACTCACCAACTTTACCTTGACTGATTCAGGCCAGAAAGTAAAACAGGGCCAATTTAACTCGTATGTCAGCCAAGTTTGATAGAAACGCGTCAGGTTGCATCTCAGAAAAGATGAGTCGAGAATAGTTTTGAATTCAACCAGTCATACATTCTCTCCTGTAAAAGATTGAATGTTAAGAATAAACATTTTGAATGTAAAAATAGTTACTAAAGGAGGGGTATTGATAAGGGCCGATTTTGGCCCCACTTCAAAAAAATCATCTGAACCCATATTTTAAGTACCCTAGGGTAGCAGAATTCTAGGGTATTCTAGCGCAGAATGTTTTTGCGATTGTGCATCTTTTTCCTGCCAAAACAGCCGACTCAATTTTTCGGCTGAAAAATGGTTTTCATTTTATAACCAGCCCAAAAAAGCTTTGCTTCATCATGTGTGTAATTTTTTGCGTAATTTTAAATGAAACAGGCTAAATTGTCTGAACTCATTTTTAGTGGGTTATTCTAAACATTTTCAACGATTCTTGGGGTTTTTTTGGAAATTTTTCACCGGTATGTAACTAGAAGACGGTTAATTATACAACAAAAACGATTGCAGATCCAAAAATAGCACAAAAAATCCGTTAGAAATCATTGGTTGGACATTTTCTCAGCTTAACTGTCACCATAAAAAACAGCTCTAAACTTGAGAAAACCGAAAAAACTGCATTTTCCATGACTAATTAGTCTCCATCTACACCCAGCATAATTTTGTCACATGACCAAAATTCAATAGATTAAAGTTACATATTAGTACATGAAACACGGCAATAATTATGGTGTGGAAAAATTGTCAGGGCTGTTATAATGCACATAGTTCCATTTGGCAGAAATAGTCCAATTATGACTAGTGAGCTGGAGAAAAGACCGTTTTTTCCAGTTTCTCGAGTTGGAGACCGTTTTTCGTGCAGACAGGCCAAGCTGAGAGAGTGTCAAGTAACGAACTCTATCGACTTTTTTGCGTTCTTTCTGAATTCGTTATTATTTTTGTTGTACTACAAACAAGTTATCAAAGAGGACTTGCCAAAATGTGGGAAAGAAGCCCCCAAAAATCGTGAAAAATGCTCTGAATGGCCCACTTATCATGATTTTTCACAATTTTCACTCGTTCCAATCGAAAGTACGCAAAAAATTACCCCGGTACAGGTATCCCATGAATAAATGGCGAATCTTACCGGGGAGTTAGAGAATTTTCATATTTAATTTAAAGATTATTCGATTTAACAAAAGTCTATTTTTAACTATGAGCAAAATTTTTCCACAACATAATTATTGGCGTGTTTCATGTACTGATATGTAACTTTAATCCATTGAATTTTGTTGATGTGACAAAATTATGCTGAGTGTAAATGGAGACTAATTAGTCATGGAAAATGCAGTTTTTTCGGTTTTCTCAAGTTTAGAGCTGTTTTTTATGGTGACAGTTAAGCTGAGAAAATGTCCAACCAATGATTTCTAACGGATTTTGTGTGCTATTTTTGGATCTGCAATCGTTTTTGTTGTATAATTAACCGTCTTCTACAACCGTTTACATACCGGTGAAAAATTGCCAAAAAACCCCAAGAATCGTTGAAAATGTTTAGAATGACCCACTAAAAATGAGTTCAGACAATTTTTGAATCAGTGTTGGTTCAAAGCAAACATTAGAGAACACTGTCGTATCTGTAATTTAGGCCAGTTGGATAAGTTGGAACACATCTTTTTTGAATGTCCTATGTACAATGACATAAGAAACTTTTATTTTTACATCGTTCCAAGATCAATGAAAATTCTAAAGAAATCTCCAAAAGCGGAGCATACAACAGCAACATATTTGTTTATGGCATCTGCAGTGAAAGTAAGATCGTTCATTCTAAACAAATAAAATTAAGAATGCAGCAATAATCAGGGAAATGTATACCTGACATATAACTTTTTGTAAAAAAAGCTGTTTGTAATGTTTCATAAATTTTAAACTTTTACACCTTAAAAAATTGCAAGAACTCGTTTTATAAGCCCAAAATTCTGGGTCAAATAAAATACTATCTATCCATCTACGTATCATAGAAATCTACGATATCTATCTATAGATCTGTTATCTATTTACTAATGAAACAGCTTTTGTTTATATTTAGATAAATATAAAAAGTATATTTAATGAACATCAGTAAGTAGAGAGATAGAGGAATAGATTTAATAATATTTGAGAGCTGTACTGATGAAACAGCATCTAAAGACCATTAAATGGATAAAAAAAGATATTTAATTAACATTCGCAAGTAGAGAGATAGAATAATATATTCAATAAAATTTAAGTGATGTACTTATAAAACGGTACTATTAGATTATCAGTGGCCTAAGTTCAAAACTACACATCTTTGTTTGTAGTTTGCAGACCTCCTATCATAATTTATTTTTTACTTGGAAAATTACCCAACGTAACCTCTTGAAAACTTCTTTGATTTTCCTTCCCTCTGTGCAGAATATTCTTTATAAATTTTAAGCCATAAAGTTGCCCTGTTTCTCCTTAAAAAAATACAATAGAAGCAGAAATTGTGAAACATCGCAATAGAGATACGTGGTTTTGCCCTTTGGCCATCGATTTATAAGTCATTTTCACATCGCTCAGCCTAGCAACACCCATCAGATCCCTTTCTTTAAATCCATTTGGTTTCTGAATTTTTCTCATCTCTTCCAACTGCTGTTTACAACCTCTCACCCAGCATCTCATTTGTTTTTTCACACAAAGAACCTGATCCGGATTTTTTCTCTTACCACGGAATTTCCCTCAGAGTAAACTCTTGAGTGTTTGCGTGGAGGAACCAATCACTACCAAAACTCTTCAGTATTTGCACACATGGGCGGAACTAGGNGGGGGGGGGGGGGAGGTTTGGTTCTGTTGCCCCATAAAAATCTACCCCGCCTTGCCTAAGTAACATGAAGGATTTTGCTGAGTAAGTCAGTAAGTGATATATCTCAAGTCTTGAAAATTGTAACTGGATCAATTTTTCGTTGAAATTAATTCAAAATTGCTCCTCAGACGACTCAATTTTTCAAAATTTCCGGAGGAGGCCCTGCAGACCCTCCTTCAAAGCCAGGAAAACTCCCCGAACTCTTCTTTGGAGCTAGGGAAGTTTTGCAGGTGCAGCAGACCTCCTTAAGAGGAGTGCTTTTTGCGCCCCTCCAGGCCCTCCTTGATGAGGCGCCCTTCTGCGCCCCCCCCCCCCCACGAAATATTCCTAATTCCGCCCATGCGCACTAATAATGATCTAAACAATCAGTCTTATGTTGTACTTTTTCATCACTATTGGTTGTCTTGTACTTCTTTCCCCTCTTTTTGAGTCAATATTTGTTCGAGTTTATACTTACATCAAGTTTTGTCATACTTCTTACTCATCACTCATTTCTCTCATTCAATCAAGTCTCTTTTCTGTTCCTCAGAAACCCAAGCTTTTTGTAGATATGGTGTATTTTGTCTTGATCACTCTGTTTAGTAGCTGATGTCTTCTTGTCTCCAGTCAAATGACAGTAGATGGATTAGAGCGTGTACTTTGTTCTATGATCATCTTTCCAACACCTTCAATATGTTTTTTTTCAAAACATAACTGCAAATACCTTGTACTATGCATTATGGAATGAACAGTTCCAATTTCACTACACCCTTCATATGACTAAAGCAAGCTTTATGGCAGAAAGTTGTATTCTCGGAAGTTACCTATTATCATGCACCTCTGCTGTTTTTGTTTCGAGAGTCCTCAAGAAACTTGTGTAATTCTATTTAATAGTTTCTCTCCTTTTTTTTATAATAAAAATCTCTTTTCAATCCCCCCCCATCTGTTTTTACCCATCTGCACGACTGAAAGGGCGAAGGTCGAAAAAGATCAACACACTCGCTCAGCAGCACTTAGCAGGTCTTATGAAAGTCCGAATTTAAAAGAATGAATTTTTAAAGCAGGAGTTCATCAAAATGATTTTTGACCCAGCCAAAGTATTGAATGAAAGAGATTAGTAGGTTCCGCCATTTCTCCAGGTTATGCATAAGTAACATTAGGAATGAAAACAAACTTAAAGGATTATGCACCTGCTCCTCCGCTTAGTAAGTGTAACAGACAACATAAGAGGACCTCCTTGACTGGTTGTGAGTTAAAGCAGCTGATCTTTTTTAATTTTGGTGCGCATTAGTAATTCTGAATTTGCTTAATCTTATTTGGTTACCCAATTTGTTTTCAAACGAGGTGTGATCCTAATGCTTCTAGGCATATTAATAGCTTTTTAACTCAAACATTCGTCCAGCTTGCAAAAAAACAGTTGATGTTCTGGGTATATATACCTTATGTTACTGAGCGTCTTAGGAATTAGAGACAAGGATTTATCTGTTTCTCATCGTTTTTCTCAGTTATTTTTACTTTTCAACTTTTCTCTCATCTTGCAATTTAGAAGGGAAGTTTATACTTTTTAAGAGGGTCTTATCATGGTCTTCCTTATCCAGACCATTTTGTCAAAAAAATCGTCAGTCATTCATTAATTAAATTAGTCTCATTTTAGATTTTTGACTCCAATAACGAATATAGGCCTTAAAGTCACCGAAGTCAAAATTATTTTGTGACTTTTGTCTTTTCGTCCTTAGGAGCTTTTACCATAAGAATATTTGAGTCTTAATGGTTAGATTTTAACTCTCAGAAGCAAGTAAAATGGTAGAATGCTAAGGAAAAAAGTCTGTAGGTCTTAAAATTCCTAAGTAGGTACCCAACCATGGGAAAATTCATGACTAACTGTGATTCACTCCTGGTTTAATTCAAATAAAAGCAGTAGAGAAGCAAACAAGCAAAACAGTTTCTGAACTCAATTAATTATTCTTTAGGGCTTTAGTCAAGCTTGATATTTTAGTTCGCATTAATTATGTGGTATTTTTTTTGTTTAATTCCCTAGGTCTCCTGTACGCAGAGTAACCAGGTGCAAGATCAAGTAAAGAGTGAACAAAACAGTGAAGATAAGAAAGAAACTCTCGACGGAAGCAAGGCTGTCATAGTGAACGGTTAAGTTAGTCCCAGCACTCCTCGGTTTCATCCATCCTTTATTTTCGCACTGCTGTGGTGGCTGCTCTCATGCATTCATCACTGAATTTAGGAAGAAATTGGACAGCATTTCAATTTTCCCCCCGAACAATATTTCTTTCCCAGTTCTTGATCGAAAGAATGCCAGTTTTTTTTTGTTATCTAATATGTACCAGAACATTTTCAGAAACTTGTGATTATCTTTCATTAATTTTAAAACTCATCCTGTCAATGCACTTGTTTGGCATTTTATTGCCTAATTTGTTCATACTTAGATAACTTTCATCGAATCACTCTGTGATTTCTGGTATTAATGTTAAGACTTTTTCAACCCAGGACTTTTCATCTTACTTCCACCTAAGAGCCTAGGCGAATATGATAAAAAACTACAGATTTTGTAAATTAATCTAGTGAAACTGAGAGGTAAATGTGCTAAGCCTTCAGTGTAGATTTTTGTGTCAAATACTTTTTGAGTTCGATTGTGGGAAGTTATTATACATATATATATAAATTCAAAATCATGGAAAATGTCAGAGCAGTCGTATAGTCCCATGGTAAATCTACACTGGGTAAGAGCTTGATTTTTCTACGCTCGAACGCCACTGCATTTTTTACATTTCAAGGTTTTGCTTTTATTGATAAATCAACAAAATTTTATAGAGTTTAATGAAAAAGTAATGTGCACAGTTGGCGGATACTTTAAAGTCTCTGCTCTTTATCGACAACAAAATTATGAGAAAAGAATAATCCAGAATTTTATCCCGAATGAAAGAAGTTCAAAAGAGAAGACTTCCAGTCGAACCAGAACGAGTCAATGAATTGAAATCGCCTCTGAACTGACAAGTTTTCCTGAAAGAAGTCAATTTTCAGCCCTTATTTATCTCTGTAAAATCTTTGTTATTCCTTTTATTCTAGAGGTTTGCAGCTGAAGTCTGTTAGGGACAAAATTTAATTATTGTTTCTAAGTATCGCTAATTTTAGTGTTTGATTTTAGCAGCTTGATGTCGTTATTACTTCTGGAACTAATTAGATTTATCCAAATAGTATTTCTGTCCACGCCTGTACTGGTTAATTTGTGGATAATTGTGTTCTACTAAAATTTAATGCTTACTTTCATCCCATGTTTTGCTGAAAATATCCAGTTTATATGTTTGCAAGCAGCTTCAATTTTCTCTGCCATGACCAAGTATTCATTCTACCCCAACCGTTCCTAAGCTATGTATCTGGATCTTGTTTGAATTTGCCTCCTTGGCGTTTGGGGAGAAAATCAAATGCAGTCACGAATCTCAAGTCGACTCAGGCCTAGCTCCTGGAATCAGTTTTTGGGTTGCAAGCATCCGTATCTATGTAGCTGTTGAAGGCAAAAAGCTGGCCACAGTCTATATCTAAAAATGATCAAATTGTTACAGTTTACCATCCCTAACCTGTAGGAAGGGTGCTGCATCTGCATTTCTAGCCTAGCACTTCAGACGGAATGAGAGCTCTCCAGAATGGGTCTATTGCATGCAAGAGATACAGCCAACTGATAACATATACTAAAGGTGGATTCGCTCGAAATTCATGTTGGGCACACCGAAAAAGTCTCAAAGCCATCCCTTTTAGCACAATCTATGAAGTTTGAAACACGCTTTTTCAAATTTACCGCTTCTACAGGGAGTTTTCGTTGATGGCCAGCAGTCAGGTTTGCCTGTACAGAGACCTTACCGAAATAAACAAGTAATCTTATGAAATGTTGTAAACTATCCTCGCCTAAGATTTCAATTGATTCAAAGCTTTCGTCTTTGCAACATAAAGAAAGAAAAATGAAACAAACAATTGAAATTACAGAATAAAAAAGGTTAGTGAAATCGTTTATTTACTCATTGTCAGGTCAGTTTCTCTTATTCCTCTGCCTGTGTCTCGGCGGTGACCGAGAAAAACTGCCCGTAGAGGCGGGAAAGCTGACAAAAGCATGTTGCAAACTTCATAGATTGCGCGAAAAGGAATGGATTTCAGACTTTCTAGACGTGTCCAACGTGATTTTTATGCGATTTTACCATTGGAAAGTATATTTATTTGGCTGTATCTCTTGTGTTCAGCAGCTCCATCATTATCAAATTTTAATTTTCTTATGTATTCTAAAAGTGGTTGCAAAGTTATTCCTTTAATTTGTTTGAGCTAAATACATACAAACCTTTAATAAGATTCGTAGTCTCTGATGAACCAAAAAAGTGGGTAACATTTTTATGATTTTAAGAGAATTGAGTTCCAATTTCAAATAATACAACGGGCTATTTCATTCTTACAAAACTTGATGTGATGCTACAGAGATGATGCTGCAAAATTTAATTTTTTTTTTTTTTTTTTTTTTTTTTTTTTTGATGAGGGGAAAAATTCGCTACAGTGCCCCCATCATGAGGGTCGCCAAGACGCCCCTCATGAAAAGGGCCCACCGAATACCGGGACGGCAACGACCATCAGCTGGTGAAGAGCCGCCGAAGCGACCCCTAACCGACCCGACCGCTGTGAGATGGGAAGACCCGGTTATGTAGGGTTGAAGCACGCCGCAGTGTTCCGTACCCACTAAACGACCCCTCCAGGCCACACCCCGTGCCAGTGTGGCCCATCGGACGCTCTATCCTCCCGTCGGACGTCCCTAAGGCACTCTTCGAACGGCAGTCCCCGACCCCGGCCCCGGTTTAGCCGGCGCCCCTCAGGCCCCCCCACTTAAGGGAGGGTCCCCCCATCCCCCGGGACCGATCTGCCGGAGCCATCATTGTACCCGGAGTCAAGGGCGTAGGAGGAGAGCCTAGGCCCAGCTTGCGCCAAACCCTGCGACAACCCCACGGCAGGGCTCTGGAGCCGAGAACTGGAGGGCGGGGAGGGCAGACCAGCTACGTCTCGCTCAGCCCTCGAGGCACCCGATCTTTTGCGGCCCCAGAAGGGGGCAGCCTACACATGACTCAGCTCCGCGGGTGCGTCGAACCCGATATCCCCAATTGGATAGCTTGCGGTAAACAGGGCCAGAGACCCGAGGGTTTCTGGCCCACTAGAGGCATCCGTTATCCATTATCCATCTCATTGTCCATCTTTACGTTTGCATGACATAACACGTGTCGCGAATCGCTCAAATGCTAGCCAATTTCCTTTGCTCTCCAGTAGCACACCCATTAGCTCTTCCGGGGGCGGGATGGGACCAATAACCCCCTCAAGTTCCCGCCTTTCCGCAGTCCATCTGTCACAGTTGTACATCGTGTGTTCCGCCGAATCACGTTGGCTACATTGAGTGCATTGATCCGAATCTTTGATCTTAAAGCAATGTAGATAAGCCGCAAAAGAGCCATGGCCAGTCAGCAACTGAGTTGTCGCGAAGTTTACTTCTGCAAAATTTAATTTGAAATCACTAATATTTCATTTTCTTACAAATGTTGCCCACCATCCTGATACATCAGAAGTCACAATTATCCAATATTCTGAATTGTTGTGGACAAATAATTATAATAAATCTTCATACTGAAGTAGATGCAAAAAGATAAGCGAAAGCTAAAGTACTGATCCAGGCAGAGACCTAAAATATTTGTATCAAATGGATAAAGAATAAATTGATGAAGTGTATGTGTCCAAAGCAGCATTGATTGTTAGACTTGGATTTGAAAAAACTTAAAACATTTTATTTACTGCACAATTTAAGAAAGCCTTTTTGAGATTCTCCTTAAATAAATATAAAAAAGAGAAAAAGTCTCGGGAAAAACTAGTTTCATTGTATTACTAGTTTCTTGTATTTATTTTTAAAAATTTTTCCACTTAATGTAGATCGCTTGGTAAAAAAAAAAAAAAAAAAAAAAAAAAAAAAAACATCACAAGCATCTAATGTTAAAAGTAAAAATGTAATTAAAATGTTTGTCAAAATTTGCAAAAATAAAGTAATACAAAACCCACAATTAGCATAAGGCAATATTTTTACCTTTGAAAAATAAAGTAAAATCAACGAGGGTTTCTTCATTGGTATATTTTTTTGTTATTTAACAGTTTTTCCTCTTGAAAAGTTGCAAGTCTGTCAAATATTTTCTCTTTTCCGTCTTTTCCAGCTATCAATGCCAGTAGGGATGGTAAGTTTCATTTCAAAAATAGGAACAATTATGATTATCAGCTAAGTTTTTAAAACACATCATTCTTCAGAGCTTCTAGGAATTCTAAAATCTCGTTTTGTTAGAAACCTTTGTTTTGTGGAAGAATATCTTTCTTAAGTATAAGGGAGGTGTTTAGACCAGCGAAGTGTTCACCTCAAGAATCAGATGAGACCTTAGGTAAAATGCCAAACTGATGCAATAAACTTTAGATATTCGGCCAACTCCTCCCCCTTCCCCCCGTATTTACTGTTAGCTCATTTAGTCTATAAATCTGTATCCTTTTATGCTCAGAGATATGTGTAAGACAAATCATGACTTTAGAAATCGTCATTTTTATTTGTGTCTTTTCTTCCTGTCAACCAAACGATCATAGATCATCCTGTTTGAGTATTATCTCAGTCAATAGAATTATTTGACACGAGTAGGACTGTATCATAATGTGTTCGTTAGGATAACCAACTATTTTATATACTACTGTAGACTGATTAAAATGCAAGTTTATTTCAACCTTTAATTGTTGAACGAATTGCAGTAAACTTGGGATTTTTTTCCCCCCCGCCCAAGAAACGTAATATGTCATTCAAAATTAGAATTCTCAAGAACTGTCAAATTTTTATTTTCATATTTGTTACTTAGTTGCTGTACTACTCTCTTTAAAAATTCAATAATCATTTTGTGCGGACTTTCGCATCAGCTTTTTTCTTGACCCTTGCCTGAACATATTATCAAGATATCAACAAAATTCATCTGCCGAACCAGACCACTCACCTAGTCCATAAGTATCTGGCCATTTCTTTGAGATTCAACCACGGATTTGGAGCATTACTTACTGAACATGAGCAGCACACTGTTCTTAACAAATGGAACGGACTTCATTGAAAGTATGATAAAGCCTGCTCACTCCGGCCCTGAGGAGTTCGTACTTACCCAAAATAATGCACATATTCAAACGTGGTTGATGTTCATAAGTATGCAGATTAATTATTTAAAGATGTGGTCCTCTAGGTGTACAAAGCAAATCAGGCAGATTTTCATGGTCGAATATGATACAATTTTGAATTAGTGAATGGCCAGTCAGTATTTCAGCCATCAGAGGGAGAATAGACAGATCAATGAAATCATCAAAAACAAAAAACAAAAAACGAATAAAAGAGTAATTCGATCAGCAGCGAGCAGGTACAAAAGAAAATTGTGTCCATCCTTACTTGGAACTAAATTCAGAGTTTCTACTAAAGCAGAAATAATACTGATTTTTTGAGGGCGCAGTCCAGAAGTACCGAAAAAATTTGGAAATTCCACAGGAAGTTCCGAAATTTTTTACTTCATGCTGGCTGGATTGCAATTGATTGATTGTCGTCAGTTGATCACAGGCCACTAATGAGCTTCGAATTTCGTGGCTACGTCATATTAGTCGCGACCCGCGCGTGAGTTCGGAATTTCGTCGCATCAAGGTGTTGAAAAAGAATTGAATTTTTCTGTTGAGGAAGTACTGAATTTTTTTGTGAAAGTGATGTAAAAGGACTGATTTTCTCGCTAGTCAGTTTTAATAGATCCCCTGTATTAATTATTAACTCCAATTAATTGGATCAACTTTTATCTACAAAAATGCACCATGCACCTAATATTTAATTTGGGAAATTTTTATTAAGAGAATTCATTTAAGAGAATTTTCTGCTGGTTTACGCGCATTTTACGAACTCTCACCAAGAGGTTATTGTTAGACAAGACAGCCGTGAGTGCCATCTTCTGCATGTACTCGCCTCTAGCGCGTAAATTCTGCTGCCGCGCCGCGCGCCGTCTAGCGCACAGCTAATCGCGCCGCGACGCCGACCGCGGCCGGCTTCGGCGACGCTCCCCGAGAGAGCGCTCGCGTCGCCAAGGTGGCTTATGTTTTATTAAGGTCCTTTTATTTTGGTTACGGAAGGAAAAGTAATGATTTGTCTGGTTCCCAGAGTTGTAAATATGTAAATAAAGCAAAGAAGGTTTCAAGGTTAAAGGTGTTTAAGTTCTTTTCTCAGTATTACTTTTTGTTCTTCAACGTCCTATGCCGGGCGCGGGATACCGATTTACCCACGTCCTAGGTGCACGCCGATACAAGCGCCATTTCATCGCCATTCACCAAGCAGCAGTCAACGGCTCCACTGCTCTAAGGTCCGCCCGGCATTTCAGTGCTCTTAAGGTAAGGTTTCCCCGGTACGCCCGGTGTCAGTACAGGTAAATCCCCGGTACGCCCGGTGTTTTAGTTCATAAGCCCCGGTTAGCCCGGAGAAGTTTAGATAAGGACCCCGGTTCGCCCGGAGAGTAGTTTAGGGACCCCGGCTAGCCCGGTGAACTGAAGAATAGGGACCCCGGCTCGAGCCCGGTGTTAGTTAGGAACCCCAGCTCAAGGGAGCTGAAGCCAGGCCCGCGCGCTCTTGGTAGCTTTTCACATCTTTAAATTAAATTAGGGATTAAGGCCCCAACACTGCATGCTTTCGTGGTTGCGTTTTGGACCAAAGACATAAAGACGGAGTGCTCGTATCTAAAAGCACGGGGAAAAAGTGAAGCTTGGCGCTGGGTGTTTGTGCGAGTGTGTAAATGAGCGCGGGAATCCATGGCGGCAAAAGGAAATTTGATTTGAACTTGTCCTTTTGATTTTTCCACATTTCTTCTTCTCGACGTATTTTAAATGCCTAAAAGGAATATATTCTGAAAGTTGGGACTGCGACTTTTTATAATACACTCACTTTTTCTCGGTAACAGGCAGTAATCTCAGATAAAGTTAGTTTTTCTTCTGCTTATGGTGGTCCTGCCGGTTCAAACAGGCCGTTACAGTCCTAGATGGCCGTTATACTCCCAAATGAAATTAATCGGTCGACGACGGACCAAAACTAACCTAAAGTTAAAAAAAATATGAGTGGGTAAGTGAATTAGGGCAAAAATCACCCTAAAATACTTTGTTTCCGCAATTTTATTTAGTTCCCGCCCTACGTTTGAATTTCAAACTTGTCCGGCCTTGTCCACACGAGCGCAGTTCGCGGAACTTATTCCTCGAACTTGCTCAGTTCCCGGAACTTATTCCTTGAAACGAGGCATGCTGTCCACACGAGTTCGTCCGAACTGGAAACGGAACTTCAATAAAACTATACAATTATTGCAAAATAATAGATTATTACGACCGCCAAAGTAACAAAAATAAATGTCAAGATCATATGTAAAGGACGTGAAAAACAAAAACAAGCAAATTCACATCAAAAGAAACATATTTAGAAGCTAGGAGTACGGGGGAAATCTCGGGTTTTGGAGGAATAAGTTTCAACTCAGCTAAAAACTTGTTCCGGGAACAAGTTCCTCGAACTGAGTTCCGCGAACCGCGCTCGTGTGGACAAGGCCTCCCGATTTCGCCGCCAATCCTCTAGCCAATAGTAGATGTGATTGAAAAGAAGCTTCATTTTTTGCTTTTAGCGCTCCGTCTTTATGTCTTTGTTTTGGACGCACACAAAGACATAAAAACGGAGGGCTAAAAGGAAAAAATGAAGCTTCTTTTCAACCACCTCTACGATTGGCTAGAGGATTGGCGGCGAAATCGGGACAAGTTTGAAATTCAAATGTAGGGCGGGAACTAAATAAAATTGCGGAAACAAAGTATTCTAGGTTGATTTTTGCCCAAATTCACTTACCCACTCATATTTTTTTAACTTTAGGTTAGTTTTGGTCCGTCGTCGACCGATTAATTTCATTTGGGAGTATAACGGCCATCTAGGACTGTAACGGCCTGTTTGAACCTGCAGAACCACCATGAGCAGAAGAAAAACTAACTTTATCTGAGATTACTGCCTGTTACCGAGCAAAAGTAGGTGTATTATAATAGGACGCAGTCCCAACTTTCTGAATATATTCGTTTTAGGCATTTAAAATACGATTCGAAGAAGAAATGTGGAAAAATCAAGAGGACAAGTTCAAATCAAATTTCCGTTTGCCGCCATGGATTCCCGCGCTCATTTACACACTCACACAAGCACCCAGCGCCAAACCAGGCTTCACTTTTTCCTTGTCTCTGCTTTTTCCCCATGCTTTTAGATACGAGCACTCCGTCTTTATGTCTTTGGATGCACAGCAAACGCATTTTCAGGTTAGAAATCGGCAGATGAGGGCGGCATTCCTCTTGAAAGCACTGTTTTCATTGACTCTCATGCACCTACAGCTGTCTTGAAAAAAACCATGTCATTTTTTGTGCACTTACGGCTTTCTCATACGTCTTGTTTTCATTAAATTAGGATGAATTTTGCTGTTTTAGCTATATCAGTAATTTCATCGAAAAGAGTTTACTTAGACGAATCTTGAAGAAAACTCGATTTCAAAAATTTTGCACTTACGGCTCTCTTCGCTATCACGGCAGTATATAGCGGGCTCATCTATACTATAAGCTCCGAGACCTCCTAATTTTGCGAAACTGGTAACGCTTAGTTCCAGCGTTCTACCGAGCCGATTTTCATGATTTTTGCGGCTATCGACGGGCAATTGTCTCTAGATAAGCCAACTCTTTTCAGATTTTCAAAATATGGCCCAGGTTTTTTTATATTACGTGGTAAAGTTGCGAATTCTCCCATTTAAACAATGTAAATTTATACTTTTTGTCATAGTTCGTTTGAGCGTTCTACCGGGCCAATTTCCATGATTTTTGCGTAAATCGACAGGTAAAAGGCCCTAGATGAGCCCGCTCTTATCAGATTTGGGAAAAAGGACCCAGGTTTTTTTAAAATCACGTTATAAAAGTGAGTGAATTTTCAGAATGCTCCGAGACTGCTACCGCTATGCGCGGGAGGATGCGCAGTGGTCGAGGAGGTTGCGCAGTAGCTGTGTAGCCTGCGCATCAGCTCTACACTTATCTACACAAGATTCGCATTCAAACCCTCACGTCGAGCGGTGACCGAGTCGTCTAAGACGTCGAATGCGTCCACTTTGAATTCGGTGTAGGTTCGATCCCCGACTCATGAAACTTTAATTATTACCTGACTATCATTGTTCATTGTTTTACTGCAATATTTCATCAATCAGTCATTCCAAAACGCGTCCTTTTAATTTTAAAGTAATTTTAAGTAAAGTTTAAAATTAAAGTATACCTCATATCGTAATTGTTTAGGGGAAAAATGAAACTAACACTGATAAAAGGGTAAAAATAGGGCCGCGAAGCGGCCTATTGATTGCGCGGAGCGCCTTCAGGGGGTTGGGCCGCGTAGCGGCCAGGGGGCGTAGCCCCCTAGTATTGGAATACGCCGCGAGGCAGCCAGTAGATCTTGATACCAGCTCCATTGCATGCTGGGTTATTTTTAAAGCCTATCCGGGTGGCGAAAACGTAGTTGTATTTTCTCATCGTAATAATTAAACGTGGGGACCGTTTAGAGTGCTGGTAACAATTTTTTAATTAATTTCGATAACAAAGGAGTCTATTATGACCCCTTATGTCCTGCTAAAGCTCTCTAATATTTACGTAGGTACCAATTTGCTTAGAGCAGATTGCTGTTTGAAAATATTCTTATCGGTTACACGTGCAAGCTGCGAGGCCAATACTTACATAATGGTCAGGCGGGTCCAGCCGCGCCCAGGTTCCAGCGGCGCAGAGTAATAAGACAACCGTCAAGAACATGGTGAAAGCAGTTACTGATTATGGCAGCACAATTTTTGCAAAGTGGCTCACTTTTATCCCACAGCACACAGTATCACAGTCTTACCACGAGTCGCGTGGTTGAGCCTTGAAAATAGTGACGGTAAGGTCTATCATTGGAGTCAGTCCAAGCAGAGAACGCGTTTCCGGTGGGAAACTTTCCCCAGACCGTCCCATAGAATGCCAGTGGGCTGGCGGAGTTCAGGACAGTCCGACAAGCACCGGGAAGGTGTTGGCAGATACCGGGCACCGACGGGATTCTTTTCCCCAGACCTTCCCATGGAATGCCAGTGGGGTGGATTTCTGTAGATTTTCATTTTGCTGTCGCCGGATGATTTCGAGGCGGTAATCTACGGAATATGTCTAACTTATTTTTTTTTACACTTCGGTAAGTCTTGGCAATCTTAAAAAATTGTTAAATCTACTTTAAATGCCGAAGCATACTTTCGGGAATTTTTTTAACAGTGCAAATGTCAACTCCGGCTAATGTCGCCAGGCTAAATTCGAACACAAGAACTGTTCTGCTGACTTTTTGGCGGAGTCCTGCACAATTTTGATGCTTTATTTAAATTGTTGAATAGATGGGGTCTACTGAAAAATTGTTAGAAAACTATTTAAAAGTCAGGGGAACTCGCACCATACATAGAAAGTTGTGTCGCTAGCTTTGGTGTCAACTCCGGCGGAACTATTTTCGCGCATTCCGGAGCAAATAGCTGATAGTGCGAGCGCAGGGTAGCCATCGTGATTGTGTTTTTTCAAGAGTTGGAGGTCCCGGGCTATCGGAAACACTGCTTTGATAAACATAAGTAAACCTTTTCTGCATCAAATATTTGGATTTCTAAAAATGGTAATTTGAAACTGTCAACTCCATTTATGTTAAAATTTCATACTGGGGAAGTGGCGCCAGTGATATAATTCAGTATATGATGTACCTGCACGATCGAACCTCAAAACAATCGGTTTTGTTTCTTCTCTGCATCGTGGACACTTTCTTTCCCGCGAAAAACACTCAAATGTCAACTCCGGCCGCGTCAACTCCGACCTTGTCAACTCCGGCCCAATGACGTTTAACGTTATTAAGCTGAACTTTATTCGACATTCGTGTAATATTTTTGTTCAATAGTTTGTTCCAGTTCATTAGATTTCAGTCTTTATAGTTAAATATTCGTTATTTTTTCAAAAAACTTTGTCTTATAATTTCACCTATGTCAACTCCGGCCCAATGACGTTTAACATTGTAAAACATAGCTCTTATTTGACATTCGTGTAATATTTTTGTTCAATTGCTTGTCCCAGTTCATTAGAGTTCAGTCTTTAGTAAAATATTTGTTATTTTTTCAAATAACTTTATTTTGTAATTTCATTTCTGTCAACTCCGACCTTATCGATTCCGGCCCAATGGCGTTTAACGTTGTAAAACTGAGCTTTATTTGACATTCGTGTAATATTTTTTTTCAATTGTTTGTTCCAGTTCATTAGATTTCAGTCTTTAGTTAAACATTCGTTATTTTTTCAAATAACTTTGTTTTGTAATTTCGTCTATGTCAACTCCGACCTTGTCGACTCCGGCCCAATGACGTTTAACGTTGTAAAACTGAGCTTTATTTGACATTCGTGTAATATTTTTGTTCAATTGTTTGTTCCAGTTCATTAGATTTTAGTATTTAGTTAAATATTCGTTATTTTTTCAAATAACTTCGTTTTGTAATTTCATCTATGACAACTCCGTACTACCTGTCAACTCCGGCCATCGGTGAAAAAACGACTGTAAAGACTATTTTTTTAAGAATCAAATCGGTTTTATGAGAAGATTAGTTTAATTAAGGGTATCATTGAGAGTTTTAATGCATTTTCAGTATCTTCGATTGGTTTTTTTTCTTAGGAGGATTAAAATAAAAGTGTGTTTTTCAGAATATTAAACCTTTTCCGTACTAAAATTCCAAAAATGACCATTTGTAAATCATTTTAAAGTATTATACTCATCATTTTTTTATTCACTTGACTTCTCTTACTTGAAAAAGCAATGAAAAACCTTAAGTTGAAGGAAAGAGGCCTTGCAAGTACTAAATACAGGATGTGAAATGAGACTGGCTGGAGTTGACAAAGTAGACTTTTTCCGTTCACTTACTAGCAAAAAAAAAAAAATTGGCCCTACAGAAGTTGACCCCTCCACTTAAATATGATTCTACATAGTATACTACTTCTAAAAAATGCTTTGTGGATTACCTACTGTAAAATTTTTTTTGAAGGAAAAAAAATTCCCAAAATGAAAATCTACAGAAATCCACCCAGTGGGCTGGCGGAGTCCAGCACAGTCCAACAACCACCGGGAAGGTGTAATTGGCAGCCGCCGGGGACCGACGAAATTTTTCCCCCCAGACCTTCCCATTGAATGCCAGTGGGCTGGCGGAGTCCAGCACAGCCCGACAAACACTGGGAAGGTGTTGGCAGACACCGGGAACCGACGGGATTTTTTTTCCTAAGACCTTCCCATGGAATGCCTTTAGGTAGGTATATATATTCAACAATAAAGGAATCAATTAAATTAGGCTACATCATCAAAGAAAAATTAATTACTATAATCAAATACAAACCAGAAATATCCTAGCAAAAATTGAAAAAAAACGGGGGGAAAAAGTAGACTGGGATAGCTTAGAAAGCAGAGGTATCAGATATTTTAACAAGCTTCCCAAGCCATTAAAAGAACTTTTCATTAAATCAGAAAATTCAAATCTATTCCTAAATAACATAAAAAATTACTTCATAGAAAACCCTTTTTACGAGTTAAAAGAATATCTCGACGCAAATCTCCCCAATCCCTAAATTGCCTGAATGTAGTCCCCTAAGTCTTAAGTCTTAGTTCTTCATTTACTGTTTTTTATTTGTTTGTTAAAATTTTTGTTACATTTATTTGATGTTAAATTCTGTTCCATTATATTATTTGGCGAGTGTTAAGCTCATAAATTTGTATGAATTTCGTGAGGCTGTTGCATTAATAAATATATTATTATTATTATTATTATTATTATTATTATTATTATTATTATTATTATTATTATTATTATTATTATTATTATTATTCATATGCGAAGTTATCTCCAGCTTCGCTGGGTAGTTGGGCTCTCTTCACGTGAGCAAACAATGCTCATTGGTAGAGAGAGTAGAGTGGGTTGAGGCCGGTGTTAACTTGGCTATGAATGGCCAATTTACAGCCGACGATAAGGCTTGCAGTAACCGGGGTGAGAACTGTGTCTTAAGACGCCCACCCAGAGGTTGCTTCTAGTCGATGATGGTGGGGTAGGGGTTTAGGTTGTGGGGGAACAAATGAGTATGGATTCTTTGGTTAAGGTTTTCAACTTAAGACTTTCCTCAGTATCCTAGCAGTTCCGAGGATTGCTGCTTTCTGAGCTGTGACAAGAGAGTGCTTCCCAGGGATTTCTTCCTTAAATTTCTTCCATTCTTTCGAGACTGCTCCCGTCGCGCCGATTACGAAGGGTACTTATGACTTTCGTGTCCGTTTTCCACATTCTACTTATCTCGATTTCTAAGTCTTTATAC